TTAAATCCCACCAAACATGAACACCAAAACAGAACTTTTTTTTTTTACACTCCTGCATCCAGATTGATGGGAGAAAGAGTTCATATCTATCTATCTCTGTTCATATCTATCTATCTATCTCTGTTCATATCTATCTATCTATCTCTGTTCATATCTATCTATCTATCTCTGTTCATATCTATCTATCTATCTCTGTTCATATCTATCTATCTATCTCTGTTCATATCTATCTATCTATCTCTGTTCATATCTATCTATCTATCTCTGTTCATATCTATCTATCTATCTCTGTTCATATCTATCTATCTCTGTTCATATCTATCTATCTATCTCTGTTCATATCTATCTATCTATCTCTGTTCATATCTATCTATCTATCTCTGTTCATATCTATCTATCTATCTCTGTTCATATCTATCTATCTATCTCTGTTCATATCTATCTATCTATCTCTGTTCATATCTATCTATCTCTGTTCATATCTATCTATCTCTGTTCATATCTATCTATCTATCTCTGTTCATATCTATCTATCTATCTCTGTTCATATCTATCTATCTATCTCTGTTCATATCTATCTATCTATCTCTGTTCATATCTATCTATCTATCTCTGTTCATATCTATCTATCTATCTCTGTTCATATCTATCTATCTATCTCTGTTCATATCTATCTATCTATCTATCTATCTATCTATCTTCATATCTATCTATCTATCTTCATATCTATCTATCTATCTATCTTCATATCTATCTATCTATCTATCTATCTTCATCTATCTATCTATCTATCTATCTTCATATCTATCTATCTATCTATCTTCATATCTATCTATCTATCTATCTTCATATCTATCTATCTATCTATCTTCATATCTATCTATCTATCTATCTTCATATCTATCTATCTATCTATCTATCTTCATATCTATCTATCTATCTATCTATCTTCATATCTATCTATCTATCTATCTTCATATCTATCTATCTATCTATCTCTGTTCATATCTATCTATCTATCTATCTCTGTTCATATCTATCTATCTATCTATCTATCTATCTATCTATCTATCTCTGTTCATATCTATCTATCTATCTCTGTTCATATCTATCTATCTATCTCTGTTCATATCTATCTATCTATCTATCTCTGTTCATATCTATCTATCTATCTCTGTTCATATCTATCTATCTATCTCTGTTCATATCTATCTATCTATCTATCTCTGTTCATATCTATCTATCTATCTATCTCTGTTCATATCTATCTCTGTTCATATCTATCTATCTCTGTTCATATCTATCTATCTATCTATCTCTGTTCATATCTATCTGTCTATTTATCTATCTATCTCTGTTCATATCTATCTATCTATCTATCTCTGTTCATATCTATCTATCTATCTATCTCTGTTCATATCTATCTATCTATCTATTTATCTCTGTTCATATCTATCTATCTATCTATTTATCTCTGTTCATATCTATCTATCTATCTATTTATCTCTGTTCATATCTATCTATCTATCTATCTATCTATCTATCTATCTATCTATCTATCTCTGTTCATATCTATCTATCTATCTATCTATCTATCTCTGTTCATATCTATCTATCTATCTATCTATCTCTGTTCATATCTATCTATCTATCTATCTATCTATCTCTGTTCATATCTATCTATCTATCTATCTATCTATCTCTGTTCATATCTATCTATCTATCTATCTCTGTTCATATCTATCTAATAACATGAACCAACACAAGAAATGTGACAAAATGACTAATCTTTATACCTTCCATGTTTATCTTTCATTATTTCTCTTCCTCTTTTGCTTCCAAGCTCATCTGATCTTATATTTTTGGATGAGTACTACTTCCACCAATTCAGACCTTTACCGCTAAGATCTGGCATGGCACATACACAAGAGCAAACTATCCTCATTCCTTTCATATTCCATTAGTAAGGAGGAAGATCCATTTTCTTTCCAATAGCTGCTACTTTACAGAACAGAATCACAAGAGGATGCTTCCCTGAACACTACAATCTTAACCTCTTCTTCCTCCTTCTACATTCATGCAACAACCTCATTTAGTAACTCTCTACCTTGAGTGGCTCCTGGGCCTTGTACTGGGTGAACATTTATTAAAAAAAGAAATAAAATAAAAACTTAAAATTACATTTTTTTGTAGACATTGTATTATATTTTCCTTAAAAAATAATTTTAAAAAATTTGCATAATTATATATCTTTTATTTGATCAAAAATAAGAAAGTTTGAAAATGTGTAATTAAATTCTAATATTTTAATTTTTACAATACCGTATATAGTTTATAAGTAAATATAATAAATGAAATATTTAGATCTTTGTAAATTAAAATATAAATATAAAAATCACTTAATCATTTTCAATAGCCCCTTTAAGAAAATCTCATGTATTTTATAAAATAAGAAAATAAATAAATAAAATAAAATGCCAATTGGATTGTAGTGTATCTTAAATAAACCAGACTGTGATGACATATTCTTATATAAGGAAACTAGTATCAACAGACAGAAATTTCAAACCCACATCTAACCTTAACTGATGCTTACTTTGTCACTGTAAATTATACTTGTATCCTCATTCGTCAAAAAAAAAAAAAAAAACAACCCTTAAATAAAAAAAGTTTTTAATTTTAAATTCTCTTTCCTGCACCAACTTAAACTATACAATAATTTAGTTTATATAAAAAGAGTAAATCATTTTTATGAAAGTTATTCAGCATCACTTGAAAATGAAAGTAAACTTTAAATTTTAAGTTTAATTTAAGATTTAGGTTCTGGTTTCAAAACCTGGTAATTTCTGTGTCATGATGAAAACATTTTTAAATAATAATTATATAAGTACAGTACTGGGAGAAATTGTATGACAAAATGGAAAAAGTTTACTTGTGACACGTTTCATCCTTGAGGACTTCATCGGACTAAATTTGTTTTGTTGCTACAACTACACATGAACACAAACGAGGAGGGCTGGGAATTTTAGAATTTATATATATATATATATATATATATATATATATATATAAAAAGTGAACATAAGTCAACACTTAGAGGCGACAGTCTGTTTCATGCTAGATACAATCATCAGGCCACGAGTGCTGTTAGGGAAAAATAACAGCACTAGTGACCTGATGATTGCATCTAGCATGAAACAGACTGTCGCCTCTAAGTGTTGACTTCTATGTTCACTCATATATTTACACACGCTCTCTCTGATATTGAGCACTTTATCCCATAAATATAGCACATCTTAAGACTATATTTCTTTATATATATATATATATATATATATATATATAACCAAATTCATTTAGCCTTTTTCTTTCCTTCACTTTTGTTAGTAGGTATCCCACAGTGTGATATTAGAATATTTGCTTACAACATTTCACCATTCCTGGCAGATATCTACTAACAAGACATTCTTTAAATCTTAAATTCACAAAGAATTCCAGTCTATTCTGCAAAGAAGAATAAATGCTCTGTTGAGAGAATTTAGCTTTTTACTTGAAAATCAGCATTGTGATCCCCATTGTTTTCTCTTTGGTTTGGCTATGTGCCAACAGTGTATATTTGATGCCTGTTGTTTTTGCTGATCCAAAAACGTTTTAAGCTACCAATATTTTGAGCAACTACTGTTAGTGTTACCACTTCACTGCAATTTTTTAAAATTTCATTAAGTTGCCACAAAAACATTGCATCAAGAAAATAAAGTTAATCAAAGAGATTTTCATTTTGAATCTATTGATAGGTATCACAGATTTTACAAGAATACAATTGGATTGACTGCAGTGTTGATGTTGTATAAGTCACTTATATTGGCTCAAGAGCTTCAGACAACTTCCTTTTCTAAATACATTAGTTAAAAAGAAAACACTTTATCTGATGGGACATGACATTTACACACTCCTACTGCCAGTAGTTATCTATTATTTCTGCTTGTTGAAGCTTGATGCATATTTACAAATGTAGATGGAAAGTAGTGTTGGTGGTGGGGTGCTGGTATTTGTTGCTCAGTGAGAGAAGTGAAGGATAGCAAAATGGAGCCACCTTAACAAAAACAAAACAAAACAAGAAGTGCTGCCTCATTGTATATCAACCAGACCTCCAAGGCCAAAACAAGAATGGCAAATTTTAAAGGTAAAAATAAAAAAAAAATATTTGTAAATGTCTGCAACGTTTCCAAGTATGACTCAGAATTAATAAGTTTTGTACTGATGATAGTCATTATTAAAAAAAAAAAAAATTACACACAAGGACATATTTATGGCTATTGACTTGTTAATTGTGTATGACTATTTTCAACGCATTAACATATAATTTAAAGCAACTATTGCACTGAAAAATTACTGTTGCACTAATGTTACATTAAAATCATGTGTACCACACAAAAAATACATTTGATTAAAATCATATACAAAATATATTATTATGAACAAATTGAAACATTTTGATACAAAATTAACAAATGTATGACTTATGTTAAAAATTTAAGAAAATTAATAAAATCTGTGAAATATTCAAAACATTCCAGAAGATATTCCAAATGACAAAGGTATTAACGTGAGTAACAATGGCCATTCTTCAACTTGTTTGTAGCTTAAATTTTTGGGGGTCGACATAAAAACAATACACATGAAATGTGCATCATGAAATACTAGCATGGTGGGGAATTGAAAGATTGATTTATTTATTTTTTATGGCTTATCAACCTTTTTTCAGGTTATAGTCATATTTTTTTTTATTTAGATTGTAAAAGATTTTGGGACATAATAAGGATTTTTACTAATACAAATTCTACTAATTAACCCATAGCTGGAGTGAAGAGAGGTAGATTCATACCTTTCCCAAGGGTATTTGCGCATGAGTGAATATAATGAACCCAACTGGAATTAGAACTCGGTTCTCAGATTTCTAATTCTGAGCTGTTATCCATTACACCATGCACACATCCAAGCTTACAGCACCTGGTATTCCCGAGTGGTTACCCATCGAGATACTTGACCAGGCTCACTGTTGCTTAACTTCAGTAATCGTACAAGAACCGGTGTTTCAGAATGATATGGCTGCGGTGAAAGAGTGAGAAAACAAAAGCTACAGAAAACTTTAACAATTTAAAACTTCCATAAAAGAAAATATCCTCTTTTTTTCTCCAATATTTGTGGTATCCATTCCAACTAATGCAGCATAGAATCTTTTCTCTTAGAACAGCTGCCAGATATTTTTGGAATTTGTGAAACCAATTTAAATTCTTCCATTGCTACCAATGAATTCTCTGTTCTATCTTCTCCTTTGCTGAAAAGATTCCAGCATTCACATGCATGGCCTTAGTGTTTTCATCTGCTATAATCTTCTGGTGACAAGTGAATTGTCTCTCAAGCACACAGACAACTCTTTCATGAGCTTTCGTCTTTCATTACTACACTCTGTTAGCTACCTCCTCTTGCTTTATTGCCCCCCCCCCGCCTCTTCTCTGGACTGCAGTATATTAGACATAATATCTGACCGTATAGAAAAGGTCCTCACTCCATCTATATGCGAACATCTTTGTTGTAAGTGATTTTAATGTGTACCACAATACGTGGCTTAAACATTCTAAAGATACTGATGTTGCCAGTTTTCAGACATTAAATTTTCCCATTATTCCCTTATTTAACATTATTTACATTATTCGGACTATTGTCCTCATCTTTGTTGCCATATTTATTACAACGTTTCGACCGTTGTACGCTCCGGCCTTCTTCAGGGGGTTGGAATGTCGAACTGAACCCTTTATTTCGCTCACTGGGGTAGACTGTTCTAGTTCCACGTGCCATGTTTAATGGATGTCAGTCAGTTATCAGTTATCTCCTGTTAATTTTCCCTCTGAAAGTTCTCCACTGCCTTAACTGGGTATTGAACTCACACTCTTTGGGTCCTGTCACTGGATCTAACTCTAAACTGTATAAAAGAATTTTTTTAAATTTTGAAATTTATCATCTGGAGTTCTTTTATCATATGAGACTACCAATTAAAAAAAAAAATTTTTTTCTTAATTTTAAGAAATCACATCATATGACTGTTTTGGCTTCTGTTATAGGGATTGATTTATATAGGAAACTGGACACCTATTAATTTAATTTTTCATCATTTTACAGTAGAAATTGCTAGAGGTAGCCATTAGGTCCATGTTAACAGTTTCTTCTCTCACACTTCTTGCTTGTAAAACTCTCTTCCATCTTCCTTTCCAGTAAACTTTAATCTTCAAAAATTTAAATGCAATGCCAATCATCATCATCTGTTTTAATTTCTATTTTTTTTACTGTCTCTCTCCTTAATAATACTTTACTTTTCTCATATTTTCTTACCCTCAGTAACCCCTTGCATTTTAGTGGCTTTATTCCCTTGCTTGGAGTAAAATGATTAACAAAAAAAAAATTAGATTTTTTTTTTAATATTTGATCAAGAGTGCTTAATCTATAGTAATGTGAAAAAGAAGTTTTAAAATTTATGAGCATTGTAAAACTCAACCTGTTATTTTTACTTGGTTTGTTGGATAGCCAGTTAACATGGTGATGTCTCAATAACATCACCATGGATAAAATAATAAAAGAATTATTTTACTATCCCTTGCAAGAACAATCATGGCAGTTCATAATTCATGAAAGTCAGATAACAATATTAAAGGGGCTAGCTCTCTCCGAACTGGCTCATCACCCAGTAAGAAGAGATATAATGCAACAAGCATTGCTTGACAATAATTCAGTGACTTTCTACAAACAAGAATTTGGACTGTTAGAACACTGTAACAATGCAGAAAGTCAGAAAATGTTAAATAGGAAATAAAAATGTTTTACATACTTACATTGTGTAAGTATGTAAAACAAGATGAGAAAACAATGGGGACATTACTAGTAACAACTACAGAAGCATATATGCAGGCAGAGAGAAAGAGAAGTAAAAGAGAAGACTGACTAATATTAGATAAAAGTGTTTTGGGAGTTATGACAACTGCCAAACAGAACTTATCTGGCAAAAGTGAAAGGGATCTATTCAGTATGGTGATCACAGTGGTATATGCAGCTATATCAGAAAGCAATGAAAAAGAAAGATAAGTTTGACAACACCCAAGAAAATGACAATTATTAATAGACAGCAGATGACCAAGTCATGACCAATGGTTAGTTGGAAGAAAACAAAAGACATTTGTGGTCTTAGAAGAAGCTGAGCAAAAGACATTAAAAAAGCAGATAGTTTAACCATTAACAAACAATTTCAAAGTGCTGACTCGAGCAGTGATTGTTTCCGAGTCCTGTACAAACTAAGGTTATAACTGCTACAATGAAAGTATCTCAAAGCAATACTTAAACTGCAGCATGACAAACATCTTAACAATTTATTTACAAAGAGTCACATTTAAAAATGAATATGGGAATTTTTTAACAAGATAAGAACTCTTTGTCCACCATATAGGGAGCACTTGTAACAACAGCAAAAGAAGTCAATCTGAGCCAGTGATGTGCAGAGGTTTGGTGATACATTTGGCCAACTCCTTGATTGTATGCCCCCTAAGACTCGAGTAGTGGGGGGGGCTATAGGGCCTAGTGTTGAATTCCCAGTGCAGGGGAATGATTGCAAAAGTTTTCCTCCTCTTATAGTCAGAAGGACACACAAATGCATGATGGGATATTTTTCTTAGTCAATAAGGACGGCTTGCATTTTGATATGACTCCGTCAAGATCTGCCTTAACTACTAGACAGACCTACTGTGTTTGCTTGTCCAACCTTGCTTTTGTGTACAAACACCAACTCATAGTTTGTAAATTCTTTTGCCTTCTTACCTGTTTGATTTGCTTTCACTATATTGTTTGTTTGCTTACGTGATTATTGCTGTTCCATCTTTTTTTTGCCCCCCCCCTTTTTTTTACTGCAAACATTGTATTATTTATCTTGCATTTTGACAATGGCTTCTAACTCATCACCTAATACTCAGAAATGTGAAAAAGGAAGACATTTTAACCCCTTCTTCACCAGTTATTTTAGGGAAAAAAAGTTTCATTTTTAATTTTTTTTTTATTTGTTTTTAATATATTAACTAAGAAACTAAGGCACCTTGAAGTACCTGAACAGTGGCTAATGTTGGAATTTTTGGGTACCCTGGTGTACAAGTGAGCCAGCCAAAATGAGCTGACTCATTTTATAGTTAACCAATAGAAGGGTTAACCAATCAGAAGGCTCAAAATATTCAATGCGACATGTATAAAGGCGGCCATGTTTTTCTCGAATATTCACTGCCAGCCTTTGATATCGAAGACTGAAGAATTATGGAACAGCTGCTGGTGGTATTGGCGATATAGTCAGATTCAGTAAAATATCTGACTCGAGAGTATTAATCTTTAACATTGTTTCATTGAACAGATTACGTACTGCGCTGTATTCTATATTCATAGACTACGGTGAACATGGTCAACAGCTAACACCTCTACCAGACATATGAGTTGACAATTGAACTTGTTTCAAGCTCAGAAAAGCATAAAAAGAATAAAGATCGACATATAAACAGGTCTGTAGCTGGTTTTTGAATGTTATGTTTTGGACATGTTTATTCATCCATGTTTGAAAAAGACACTCAGTAAAAACATATATACGTGTCTATACCAGGGAAGGAGTAAAATATGCAAAAACAGATGAAACATGAAATAAACACTTTATTCAAATATAAATTAATTTTCATTTCACTCCTTGATGTGATGCGCAAGGCTTTCACACCCTCTGCTCCCCCCCCTCTGCATGCTATTTGTCTGAGGAAAAGAAAACAAAGCAGAAAAAGAAATGGATGACTGGCAATTTTTCTTTTATTCACTTCACTCCAAACAAGGTGATAAGGCCATTAAGATGCAAGTGCTTACTGCAGGTGAAATAAAATGAGAAGACTTTAGGATAATGAACTGAAGATCCAATCCTAAACAAGAAACAAGGGATAAACCTCTACTCCTGTTCAAAAGACAGGGAAGGCATGTGAACTGGGCAATAGGTAAACCTATCTACTCCTAGAACCAATGAAATTCAGAGGGCAGATAACATTAAGAAATGGCACAGAATATGAGATTAAAGAAGACAAACATCAGAAATAAAAGGACACAAGCAAAAAAATAATAATGCCTTTATGAGTAATGAGCAAATATTGGAAGGACGTGAGATATACACCATAAGGGAAGTGCTTGTAACAACAGCAAAAGAAGTCACTCTGTGGAAAAGAAAGCCAAGTAAAAAAAAAAAGAAAAAAAAATGGATGACAGGGGAAATTATTCAACTAATGGAGATAACAGATAATAGCAAGAAATTATGCAGAACATCTGATGTTAAAGAAATAACATTGGAAATAAATGCAAGTGAGGAAAACAGGCTTAATGATAAATGCATAGAGATCTAAAAACTGCAGGACACAGATGCGACAGGAATGGTCAAAATGGAATATGGAAAAATGTACACTTTTTTTTAGGATTTATAATATCTGAAGACATAATAAACATACATAGACAATGAGGAAAGATGATTTGAAGAATTTAACACTCACAGGACATTGAAGGCAAGCAACGTGGAAACCATAAATAAGCTTTTTAATGGTTTTGAGTGAATGGATGGCAGAACAGGAATAAAAGAGACGTTAAAGAATCATCATCATCATCATCCCCTTGACTTTTGTAATTGTGGAGGGGGATCTGAATGCAGAAGCCATATTGAATCTCCTCCACAATGGTTTATCAATGGCACCCATCAACAATACTATCTGGTATAGTCATACTTGTCCATTGTTTGGCATTGTCCAACCAGTTTTTGTGTTGGTGTCCTCTCCTATGTCCAGCTTCAACGGTGCCTTGCACAGGTTGTTGTGCCTTGTAACGTGTCCAAACCACACCATTTTGACAGTGATAAGAGGTCCCTGGTGGTCCACAAAACTTTCAACTCTTTCCCACACAAACTCATTGGTTTCATGTTTCCAATAGAAGATACCAAAGAATTAAAAAAACCAACTAAAACAGGGAGCTGTGAAGAGTCATGACTGCACATGACCTGAAATGACATTAAAGAAGTATAGAAAAAAATATAAAAAGAAATCCTCTCAAAAAAAAAATAGAAATGGATGACAGGTGAAATTATGAAACTAATGAAATAGATGGCAGAGAACACCAAGAAATGGCACAAAACATATGAGATTAAAGAAGAAAAACATCAGAAATAAATGCAAGCAAGAAAAAGTGGAATACCTTCATGAGAAATGAGCAAAGATTGAAAAACTACAGAACATAGCAAAAATGTGCTCTTTGGCAGGATTTATAAAATCTAATAAGGAACAATAACATTTGAGATTCAATATTGTAACTGATGATAAATTCAGACAGAAAGAAAAAAAGTGGGGTGGTTTTGAACTATGACTGAGATCAAAGCCACTAAGGCACAAGAGGTTACTGAAAGAGAAAGTCTGAGAAAAAACATTAAGGAGAGAAGACAATAAAGAAACAGGATTCAAAAAGACAAATGACAATGATTGAGATTGAATTTAAATTTTTGAAAAGCAAGAAGCCAGAATAGAGTTCAACAAGACATGTAAGAGAAAGTGTTAGTGCAATTTTAACTGTAAAATAATGGAACCGAGCTGCCAATCTAGTACTGCACTCAAGGTACCAAAGAGGAAAGTTGTTTTTCTTTAAGTTTGAAGGATGAAGCTAGGTTAATAGTCACATCTATGTTCTTGAGAACGTCTTTAAATTGTGAATCTGTTAAACGTCTAAAACAAGGGCAGTGAAAAAGTTCAAATCCAGTTTCACAAATCCAAAATGCATGAATGACAAGTAAGTATAGAAAATCAGAAATCACAAGTCCAAAACATCAAAAATCCAAGAGGCAAAATAAAATAGACACAAAAAAATCACAAATCACAGATTCTAACAAAATGAACTCCCTCTTGTGTACTAACCAAAAAATATATTATCCTCAAGAAAAGCAATGGCTTCAATTCAGGAGGTAAATTTTTGATTACAATAGTCAGGATGGATAGAAAAAAATTATCATATTTGAAACAGTAATTATCTGGTATTTATTTCTTAGCAAAATGCACAGAAGATACAAACTCTTTGGGGGGGGGGTAGGTGATTTCCCTGTTTGCTACAGAGACCATCTGACCAGACTCTGCCACCCAACCTGCAGGAATTTCTAACTGGGCATTACCTTTGCCTTTGTTGTTCTTCTTGGTCTTATCTTCTTCTGATACTTGTTGTTCTATTTGTTTTTCTTCTTCTTCTGACACATGTTCTTCTTCTCCTTCTGACACATGTTGTTGTTCTTCTTCTTCTTCTGGTACTTGTTCTTCTTCTGGTACTTGTTGTTCTTCTGGTACTTGTTCTTCTTCTTCTTCTTCTGGCACTTGTTCTTCTTCTGGCACTTGTTCTTCTTCTGGCACTTGGTCTGGCACTTGTTCTTCTTCTTCTGGCACTTGTTCCTCTTCTACTTGTTGTTGTTCTTCTTCTGACACATGTTCTTCTTCTTCTTCTGGTACTTCTTCGTCTTCTGGTAGTTGTTGTTCTTCTTCTTCTGGCACTTGTTCTTCTTCTTCTGACACATGTTCTTCTTCTACTTGTTGTTGTTGTTCTTCTGGCACTTGTTCTTCTTCTGGTACTTGTTGTTCTTCTTCTGGTACTTGTTGTTGTTCTTCTTCTGGTACTTGTTCTTCTTCTTCTGACACATCTTCTTCTTCTGTCACGTGTTCCTCTTCTGGTACTTGTTCTTCTTCTTCTGGTACTTCTTCTGGTACTTCTTCTTCTACTTGTTCTACTTGTTCTTCTTCTTCTGGTACTTGTTCTTCTGGCACTTGTTCTACTTGTTGTTGTTGTTGTTCTTCTTCTTCTGGCACTTGTTCTTCTTCTTCTGGTACTTCTTTTTCTGACACTTCTTCTTCATGATCATAGTGTACTGCACCATTTCAGGACATAGACAATCATGGCTCTCCCCAACTTTCTTTCTTATGTGGCTCTTAGCAGTTTTTCTCCTTTTATTAAGGCCACCTTTTCCCCATTTTGCCATCCATTCACACAAATTCATCAGGTGAGTGTCTTGTTGCTTTCCCCTATCTCTCTTATGCTCAATATGTCCTGGGAGAGTCAACTTTTCCAAGTCCTCCTTCCTCATTGTGTCCAAGGAATTTCAGTTGCCTTTTCCAGATTTTGAATATAAGTTTTTTCTGCTGGCATTTTCTTTAAGATTTCCTTGTTGCTTGCTTTCTCCATCAATGGAAGTTTCTGTATCTTTATGTAGAACCACATTTCTGCTGCCCCTAGTGTTCCACTTATCCATAGCATAAATTGTCCAGCATTCAAGCATTCACTGCCATCTAAGAGGTTGGAAAGCATATAGCAATCCAGCCCTCTTTTGTTTGTTTGTTTCAAACAAATTTTTTCCATTTCTCAACACTTTGCTTAGCTTTTTGAAGGCATCTTTCATTGGTCCATTGTGTTTAGATCTCAGTGTCACATTTTGTATCTTCTGTTAAAACACTTCCCAAATATTTGAACACCCTCACCTGCTTGATGCTTCTATTTCCAATTCGTAAGCCACATCTTGAGCTTTTTCACTTGATGATAACCTTACTTTCTGACAGTTGATGGTTGATTCTTTTTTTTCTTGCTTTCTCCTAACACCCTGTCTAGAAAGTCCTGTTGTTTCTAGTCCTGCCATGTTATTATATGCTACTTTTTCTCAAAACTTGTCAGCATATGATGCACATTTAGTTGAGATGCATATACCTGATATATACCTGACTGTCATGATGGAGTACACTATGCTTTGTATATGTGTATCCCAGCATTGCTTCCTTGGTATGCTGCTCTCACTGAATACAAACAATAATCTCTTCTAGGTATTTTTTCTTTTTTCTTCTTTTTCCCCTCTTTTTTCTCCTCCTACTCTCTTCTCCTTTTTCTTTTTCAGCTTTCTTCTTTCCTTTTCAGCTTTCTTCTTTCCTTATCAGCTTTCTTCTTTTTCTCCTTTTTCTCCTTTTTTTCCTTTTTCTCCTTTTTTTCCTTTTTCCTTTTTCTCCTTTTTCCTTTTCCTCCTTTTTCCTTTTCCTCCTTTTCCTCCTTTTTCTCCATTTTTTCCTTTTTCTCTTTTTTTTCCTTTTTCTCTTTTTTTTCCTTTTTCTCTTTTTTTTCCTTTTTCTCCTTTTCCTCCTTTTTCTCCTTTTTCTCCTTTTTCTCCTTTTCCTCCTTTTTCTCCTTTTTCTCCTTTTTCCTTTTCTCCTTTTTCTCCTTTTTCCTTTTCCTCCTTTTCCTCCTTTTTCCTTTTCCTCCTTTTCCTCCTTTTTCCTTTTCCTCCTTTTCCTCCTTTTTCCTTTTCCTCCTTTTCCTCCTTTTCCTCCTTTTCCTCCTTTTTCTCCTTTTTCTCCTTTTTCTCCTTTTCCTCCTTTATCTCCCTTCTCTTTTCTCCTTTTCCTCTTCTATCCTCTTTCTCAGCCATGATTGTCTACACCCCAAAGGGACAAAGCAAAAAAAAATGTTATAACACCATAATCACCTGAAAATAAATAGCCCAAAATGCCTCCCAATTTAATTACTATTCAATCTTAGAGCAATCGTTACTGTTTTACAAACATGATAAAATTATTTTTAGATTGCACTGATGTCCAACCATTATTAACATCTTTGTAACTGATGAATTTTGTTCACATTAAAACTTAAAAAAGAAAACTCATAGATTTTCATGCTTTCAATGTTTACATTGAAAGCATAATCACATTTCAAGGACCCCCCCACCCTGCTCCCCAACTTTGAAAAGAGAAAAATCTATTCTACTTTTGACTTTCTTTCAATTTAGCAATAGATTGAAACTAAATATTTCAGCTGAATTAACCTATGTTTAGATTTTTGATCTCAGGAATTAACTTCTCATAAATTATATTAATATCTAATATTTTCTTTTTATTACTATTATTATCTTGTTATAGCAATATTATGACTGTTATAGTGTTATATTGTCAAACATCCATACTAGCTACAAGGACTCTAAGTCGCTACTAGAAATACAGGAGCATGGGTGGGAGACTGGAAACAACACAGGATATACAATGAGTATGCTGTTTATAAATAATACCATTGTAAAAGTTACCAGCGAAGATATAATGAAAAAAGGGAAATTAAGTATCTGTTGTTTAACAAGTGTATAACACAAAGCATAACACCACGTTCTTTCAAGATGGGCTGTTATGCATCTTTACAGTATTAGCATTGAAAATTCAATTAATTTTTAATTCAAATTTTAATGTCAAATTGAGGCAATAACAATAATAATAATAATAATAATGTCCAATATATACACTTCATAAGTTATATGTACAATATCCAGTATATACACTCCAATGCCAAATTTAAACAATAAACACACTGTCCAATACATAAACTTATTTCATGCTTGCAAACTTGTGCTCTCTTTATGTATACATAATTATGAATGATCACTTGAGGCAAATGCATGACACCTGATGAAACTGGCAATTGTGGTTGTTCACTGCCTACTTGAAATTTGACTTAAAATATGTTAAGGCTCTGACATTTTTTTATGGCATTGAACACTTTCTTTTCCAGTTTGCATCTTAGGCAGACTCTTTTGGGAGCTGCTTGTCTTTATCTCTAATTGTATATGCTCTGGCATGGGTGACTCTCGTGACCCTGTATTGTAGAGCACATTTATTGTTTATTGTAGAGCTTGAAGCTGTAAACTCCTCTACTGTGGTACTATTGTTCCCTCTGGCATTAAGCACTTTTTTGCTGCACTAGTAAGTTTTTTCTGGTGGAACTTTTTATTTATTTATTTATTTTTTGCTTTTCAACTATTTCGATCTTGGCCAGATAGGTTACCCTCCCCTTAGCAAGTTTGGTTGGCTCATCATCTTGGAGTTGCCTGGTGCTGCTGACCACATGATGATTGCAATGTGCAATCTTAGGCAGACTCTTTTGGGAGCTGCTTATCTTTATCTCTAATTAATAGAGGCAAATGACCTTGACACTGAATCTTATTGATTAATTTTATATGAGACTAGAATTTTGTTCACATTTGGGACAAGAGGCAGTGATTTTGTGAAGAGCCATTTTGTCATGGATTTGCTTTTCACAGATTCTTGTGAATTACCATGACTTCTTGGAAAGAATGAATTTCCATTTCCTTTTCCACTTTTGAATTCAGTATTGTCTTTCACTATGACTGGTTGCAACCTAATTCTAAAGATACTGATCCATACAGGTGATATGACAAAAAAATGGATTCTTAAGACTACAATTTTCTGCATGATGTTTTCCATCAGTAATCATGCTCCCTTTACTTTGTTTTATTTCGGAGATATTTCCAGCAATACATATCACCAGCAAAGACCCACCAAATTTAGTCAAAGACAAGTTAGACTGATTCTGACTCACATTTTCAAGGACAGGGAAAATGCAAAACTTAAGGTATTATTCAATATTATAATTTTCCTATTGTATCCAATAGAGTAACATTTGGCATGTTATATTGCATGCTAAGGGAATAAACACATAACACCAGGTGGATACTAGAAGAAGGTTTATTGTACACAACAAGTACAATATGAAATACGGTATAGTTATGCACACAGGTCAATCTAGTAGTGAGTGCTAATAATTGGAAGGTTAGACGTGCTTGCGTCGTCCTGTTCTCACACTTCTTCCCAATTCTCTCGTAGACAGTAGACTTTATAGGTACTTACTACCTATAGTGTAATCATTCATGGGGGTGACTGGTTATTCCATTACATCACCTCCCCCTGAGCTGAAATTTTCCTCTAGAAAATTTTAGCTTCTAATATTTTCTTTAATTTCTGGCCATGATTGTGTTCTAACTGGCGGTGCTCTTGCAACTAACTGACACCCTCTGCAGTTTTTCACAACATTTTCTACGTCTGCGTCCATTTTTGGCCAAAAAACATAGCCTCTCATAAGAGATTTTATACGAGATATGCCAGGGTGACCCGTATGAAATTCTTTTAAGATCTTTTTCTGTAATGCCTGTGGTATCACCATCCTGTCTGTGTACATTAGCGTATTTTCGCAGATCAAATACGGAGAAATTTTTACTCCCTTTTTATTTCTTTCATTTATCCTGACTTGTTTTTTCATAGTTTTAATAAATTCATCATATTTTGCTGCTTTCTTTATGTCTTCCAGTATCACCTGTAGTTCCCTAACACTATTACACAGCAAATGTGATATTTCTTGTTTGTCCTTTAAAGCTGCAATTACCGTTTCTTCCAAAATTTCATTATGTTTTGGAATTAACCTTGACAGTCCATCCACATGACCCAAGTTTTTCGATGAGATGTACTCCATTTTAAAATGGTAGTTCAATAATACTATGCCCAACGTTGTAGTTAGTTTGCAGAATGAGTTGCAATGTCCTTTTTCAATCCTAAAATGTTCAGTAACAGCTTGTGGTCAGTTTGTAGTGTAAATACTCTACCATGAAGGAAATGATGGAATTTCTTAACTGCGAAAATGATTACTAAACTTTCCTTTTCTATCTGACTGTAATTCTTTTCAGCTGGCAACAGAGTCCTTGAAGCATGTGCAATTGGTTTTGTTGAACACTCTTCATGTTTATGAAGTTGCTCAGCTCCAACTCCATATTCACTAGCATCCGAAGTAACAATGATTTCTTTTCCTGGTAATTTTCATAGTGTGCCAATGCTAAATCGGTCGGTAGACAATTTTTAATTTTTTGAAAAGCTTTTTCACAGTCTTTGAACCAACACCATTTAACCCCCTTTTTCAACAATCCGTTTAACGGTGCTGTTAATTCATACATCTTTGGAATGTATATTGTATAGTACTGCGCCAAACCTAAAAATAATTGTAATTTTGCCACATTATCTGGGGCAAGCATATTTCTTATGGCTTCAGTTCTCTGTGGATCTGGTTTTCTGCCATCTTTTTTGACAATCTGCCCGAGATACTTAATTTTCTCCATTAAAAATTCACATTTTTTGGGGTTCACATTGAATCCGAATTCTTCAATTCTCTTAAAGATAGCCCTTATGTGTCTTTTATGCTCATCCATATTTTTACTTTTCATCAACATGTCATCCAGGTAAGCAATGGCAAATTCTAACCCTACAAGCTTTGTGTCCATGATTTCTTGAAAAAGTGACAGTGTGACTTTTAAACCAAATGGTAGTTGGTTTAATTTAAATAGTCCTTTATGTGTGTTAATCATCAAATACTTGGAACACTCTTCATTGACTTTGACCTGCAAGTATGCATCTGACAAATCAATTTTAGAGTATATTTTACCCCCATTTAATTTTGAGAAAATGTCCTTGGGTGAGGGAAGCAGGTAACTATGGTCTTTTAGACAGTCATTCAAACATGTCGAAAAATCTGCACATACTCTAATTTTATTATTTTTCTTTTTAACATACACAGTCAGCAATGCCCACACTGAGTGATCCACTCTCGAAATCCCATTGAATTTTTCCAATCTCTCTAGTTCTTTGTCAATAGCATCTAATGAAGAAAATGGAACATTCCTTTTAGGTCTGAAAATCAGTGTAGCATTTTCTTTTATCTTAAATTTTACCTCTGTTTTCAAATACATACCCAGTCCTTCAGAGAAAACTCTGGGAAATTCGACCTTCAAATCATGCACAAATTTTTCTGTCTGTTTTAATTTCTTCTTTTCCCAGGTGTTCACCTGATTACAAAAAGAGTTTATGGGCAATTCAATCTATGCTGAAAAGGCAGGAGTTGTTCCCTTTATGTACGTAGACTTTTGACTTGAAAGTCTTACCACAAAACGAAATGTTACACTTAAGTTCACCCTTAAATTTGAGTGTTTTTTCCTGAAATACCTCTGGCAATTTTGTTCTTGTCAGTCAATTTTGGTCAACCTGTTTTTCTCCATGTCTGTTCGTCAATTATACTAATATCAGAACCTGAATCCAAAAGAAATGTTACCATATGTCCATTTATATGTGCATCGACATACTTTTGTGTCTCTCCATTCTCAAATTCTTTTCTGGAGAGAATCACATTCACTTTTTCACTTGTCTTTTTCTTTCTTTTATAACATTGGGACCCTTTATGTCCCATATGGCCACATTCAAAACATACCTTATTTTTAAACCAGCAATTATATTTTGTGTGATTAAATCCTCCACAACATTCACATTTCTTTTTACATTTTTTTTTGTTCTTCACATTTGGGGCCTTTTTCTTTCACTCGTTGAACTTTGAAGACATTCTTTTCCTCTATACAAGTATTGTCTCATTTCACGCTAATCAAATGTTGGTACTCTTCAGTAACTTTTTGCAAAGTAATCTTATCGTCTTTTTCAATAATTGTAAGAATCCGCAACCTGATATCCTTGTCCTTGGAAGCTGTTAGTCCCTGAACAAATATTAGACATTTGAATAGTCTTTCAAAATCTTGTCAATTTTGAAAAGTTCACATAATGAGTTAACCGTTCCAGCATATGATAAAAAATCCTCGTTTTCTGACTTTACAATATTAAAG